CTCTACCTACAACCAGGAAGTCATTCAGGGCATGCAGTGGCAGTCGGGCGATTGTGATTTCATGCCGGCAAACTGGAGTAGCTACATTGTGAGTTCCTCGCTTTATGGCAGCCCCCTTCCCAACTAATGAAGGCATCCAGGGAAACGACGATCAAATGTTCTGGGGTTTGGCCGCTATGACTGGTGCCGAACTGAACTTTCCCGACTCTAGTGACGGATACTCCTGGCTTTCGCTGGCGCAGGGTGTCTTCAATACCCAGGTCGCCCGCTGGGATAATTCTACCTGCGACGGGGGTATGCGGTGGCAGATTTACACCTACGAATCCGGTTATACCATGAAAAACGCCATTTCCAACGGTGGTCTGTTTCAACTGTCGGCTCGGCTGGCGCGTTATACTAACAACCAGACCTACTATGACTGGGCAGAGCGCATCTGGGACTGGTCGACCACGACGCCGCTTTTGAGCAACTCAACCTGGAACGTCGCTGACTCTACATCGACGACAAACGACTGCAGTACCCAGGGCGATAACCAGTGGAGCTACAACTACGGTGCTTATCTTGGAGGAGCTGCGTACATGTATAATTACGTAGGTGAGCCCACCGCATCGAGAAACGATCAACTCCTAACCTATCACAGACCAACGGTACCAGCACCAAATGGATGAACGCCGTCGATGGCCTGCTGAATCGCACGTTGGACAAGTTCTTCCCGGCGAGCCACGGCGGTGAAATCCTAACGGAGATTCTATGCGAACCGACAGAGGTGTGTAACGACAATGAAATCATCTTCAAGGGTCTGGTGTCTGCCTGGCTCGCCTACACTGCCCTACTGGTTCCGTCCACCTACAATAGAATCCTGCCCAAGCTGCAAGGATCTGCCCAGGGCGCTGCCGCAACCTGCACCGGGTATGGTAACAACACCTGCGGCGTGCGATGGTGGAACAGTACCTGGGATGGCTGGAGCGGACTCGAGGAACAAATGAGCGTTACCAGCGTCTTCTCGTCGAATATGATCGCCTTCGACTCCTCGTCTGCACCGTTGACTTCCAGCACGGGAGGCAACAGCACCAGCAATCCGTCGGCCGGAACCGATGACAGCTCCGATGACAAGACCATTCTAAGCACGATCACCACGGGAGACCGCGCGGGAGCGGGCATCGTGACAGTTGTTTTTGCTGGGGGTTGGATTGGCTTGATGGCGTGGTTGATGCTCGGTTAATGATACCATTATTGGCGTTAGTTTTGTATATATTGTGTAAATAATTAGACGAAGATATGTCTGCAAAAGCATCATTGCAAACACTATTAATATATAAGATGAAGGTCTATATGACACAGTCCAGGAGTATTGCTGTCTAGAGTATTCTTCGAATACGAATGAGCAATGATTTGAATATTCTCGTATGTATGTACATCAACTTGCTAATAATTGCATCGCATCCATCAACTGCCAGAAACACGGTATGATGTATGTATGGTATATAAACTAAAAACGGCATAAACTTTTAGTTTTTCCAAGGGGCAATAGATATTGTTTGCCAGGTGAATATTATCACAAAACACAAAACATCCCTCTGCAAGGGAAATAACCTACTGCTCCAACACGGGCTGCTTCTCCTTCAACCCCGTCTTCGTCTCCACATGCTCCTCGCTAAGATGCTGACGAGTGATAAACACACTAGCAACGAATCCACAAGCAGCGAGACAAGCATACATAATCCACATATTACGAAGACTCCACGCATAGGCATCCGCCACAGCCTGTCGCTGAGTCGGATCCTGGACCGCGCGGACGGCTTCAACATTAGCTGCCGCCTCCGTGCCAGAGAACTCAGCCAATAGCGACGAGGACAGCCCCGCAGCCTTGAGGCCGCCCTGTCGCATGTCCATGCTGTTCTGGAACACCACGCCCCCGAGGACTACGGACATGGCCATTGCGACGTTGCGGATGAAGCCGAAGGTGGCGGTTGCGCTGGCGGTGTTGGCCTGGGTGATGTTGCTTTGGAGGGCGAGGAGAGGTGGGAAGAAGAGCATTCCGCATCCCATGCCTGCGGTGATTTGGTAGCCGACGATTTTTCCGAGGGAGGAGGTGGCGCTGTAGTTGGTGAAGAGGCCTACTCCGAGAACTACGAGGGCGGTGCCGGCCCAGATGATTTCGAGGTAGCGGCCCGTGCGGTGGATGAGGAGGCCGGAGAAGAGACTGAATGCTGCTTCGGTTAGGACGAAGGGGAGGATTAGGACGCCGGAGCGGAATGGGGTGGATTCTTTGGCGGATTGGAAGTAGAGTGGGAGGTAGTATTCTGCTCCGAGGTAGGCCTGGTGGGGAGGGGAAGGATTAGCGGTGTGATTGATGTGAGGAGGTTGGTGGAGGGTCGTACAAAGCCATGTGTGAAGTCGACTAGGAAGCAGGCGACGTTGGACCGGTTCCTGAATACGCCAAGGGGCATGAGGGGGTATTTGGCTAGCTTCTTCTCACTGTAGATGAAGGCGAACGACATCAGACAGCCGAAGACGATGAGGCAGATTACCTTGGGAGAGCCCCAGGGGAATGTGGCGCCGCCAAAGTCTAAACCTAGCAGCAAGAGGATGATGAGTGCGAGCATGGAGAAGCTCCCCCACCAATCTATGGCTTTGATACCGGCCAGGATTGGAGTCCTCGGATTGTGTATATCCAGGAACACATAGAGCAGCACAAAGGCCGTTCCACAGACGGGAAGATTGATCCAGAAAATCCACCTCCATGAAACAGATTGGGTGAAAGCCCCACCCACGATCGGCCCTAAGGCACCAGCGATGGCCCAGATGAACTCGATCAGTCCGAGGAACAGACTGCGGAGTCTATCTTAATGTCAGCTACAGACCAGACAAGATAAGAGGTGTGAGCAGTACCTGACGCTGAACAAATCAGAAATGGTAATTGTAATCAGCTGGATGAGACCACCACCAGCTATACCTTGTATGCCACGGCCGGTAATCAGCATGGGCATACCATTGGCTTTGGCGCAGATGATCGATGCTACAAAGAATAGAGCAACGGCTGAGAGGAGGATAGGCTTTCGCCCCCAGATATCGGACAAATTGGCCCAGATGTTGGAACTGGCGGCGTTAGCAAGGAGATAGGCACCACCAATCCATACATATCCGGATGCTGAATGCAGATCGGACGAGATCGTTGGTGTGGCAGTAGCCACAATGGTCTGATCAAGTGCGGAAATAAAGAGCGCAAGCTACATCTTATAAGCAGGGTGTTAAAATAAAATCTAGAGAGCGACACACCGAAAGGGCAAGCATAGTTGCAAAGATCTTCCAATTACTGCGAGGCCCAGGAATCCCGGGTTCGGACTGAAGATTCTGTGAGGGAGTTTCTAGATCTGGTGCATTGGATACTATATTCTCCGAACCGCATTGATCAGGTCCATAGTTCTCGCTCACGGTTCCGGGCGTGGATAGCATTTCGAATGGCTGCCGATCGGCACCAATCGAGTCTCTAGAAGAACCCAACGCCATTGGGACCTCTACTTCAAGGACTGGAACGCCAATATCAACCTGTAAAGATTCTGGCGAGGAGAAGAATAGGATGGGGAAGATGGATGAAGGGCGAAAAGATTGAGTCACGGCTGTTTGTTCAGTTTGTCTGTGTCTTGGCTGGGGTTCCCGTTTGCCGATATTCTCTCATCCTCCCTTCTCATCCCTTCTTTCATCCCTTCTTTGCCGAGTTAGTAAGTAGAAGTAGAGCGATCTCACAGACACAATGCTTATGTACGCTGCAGGCTCCTCGTCGCTTAGTACTGATTGTATGGGAGGCGTAATCCCCACATCAATTGCATGACAGTTCATCCGGGGCGGTTGACAGCTCCACTCTGCTGGCGCATAGTACTAATACCATTCGTTTTAGTAGTATGATCTAGTGAGAACGGTTTAGTAGCAGTACTACTAGTATGAGTAAAATGCATTATCTTCCTAGCCCAATATGAAGTTACATCATCAGGCTTTATTGTGCACCTGTTACGAAATAGGGCTATTTTGAATAAGGCTGAATTAGAAATGAGGGAAGGAGCGGGATGGATTTTCGATGGACATCCATAGGATCTTTATTGGATCTTTATTGGATCTTTATTGGATCTTTATTGGATCTTTATTGGATCTTTATTGGATCTTCATTGAGTTTCCATTGGTTTTCTGCTGGGACTTCCCCTAACAATCTTAGCCTGAGCCCACTTGCCTGCTGCAGTGATAAAGGCGCACTTTCTGGGCAGGCTGAGATGGATTGGTCCAGCCGGTGTCTCGCATCCTAGTAATAGGCGACCGTAACCGAATAAAAATGATTAGTCCTAGCTGGAACCATATTTGCGAGAATCCCATACCGAATATGCGTCGAGCTGTAGCCTTCTCAGACATGATACGGAACATACAGTGGATGTTGTGAGATGTGAGGTGCTAATCGACACCTATGCAAGGCAGACAAGGCTCTCAAGCAGCTAGAAACCGCAAAATACACACAGGAGGTAAAAGATAATTGAGATCTTACTCCTTTTCAAAGAAGAAACACTTTCAAGCAAAGGCGAGCTTCGGTTAAGTTTCTACTCTAGTCATACAGACGTGCATAAAAAATATGTGAGATCCACAATACAACGACTCGCTATACGAAATGCCCTGCTTCTTGCACCAGAGTCAGGCGTATCTTGCATAGAGAATTTTGTCCCACTTACGCAGCAACTAGACGAACTTGCCCCTATCCGAAAGAAAAGCACCTTGGCCAACCAATCACTCGAAGCCAGTGCCCAGACCACAGAGATGAGGGATTTGCAGAGCGCGACACTCGATGAATATGAGTGGCTTGGACGGAAGCTGTTGGACCTAAAGGAAATCACTTATGGCAGATACTCGACTTCCACAGCTGCAACGGCGTCATGAACCGCCTGGGCCGAATGGATCTGTCCATGCCAACACTGTGAAATCGCAAAACCACATAAGACGTTAGAAATATCAGGAAATTATTGAACTCCATATAGCTTCTTAACTTCATCACTGAGGATGTCCTTGTAGGGATAAGTGCCTGTCATTATAGAGTAAATTAGAGACCCAAGGCCGAAAATGTCGTCTCCATAAGCCGAAGGGACATCCCAGTCATAGCCAGGAGGTCATAATCTTGTTGCCGGTGTAGCTGAGGGTTCTGAACCACATAGTGATGCGCCACCAGATTTTTGACATTGAGGCTCGAGTCGAGAAGGAAATTTCTCGGCGAAAGATCAGTGTTTGATGTAATGAGCATGGAGAGCACCGAGTGCTTTAGCAATCTGTTTACACCATTGGAGTCGAAGTTGATAGTTAGATATGTCATGTTCTGTTGAATGTATTCTTAGAGATTCCCATTATCCATATATATCATAGTGAGGTAGCAAGTTTCTTGATCCCAATTCAATATCTTGGGAACACATGGATGTTCTCCCATCATTGCATAAATCTTGGCCTCAAGTCGCATATTACGACGATAGTCTTCTTCTTCAGGAGGGCAGTATGGACTTGGAATAGGTGTCTTCATAACGGCACCAGAAGGCAATCGCTCAAGAATAGCGGTTCCTCCCCATGCCAAGGTTTTGCCTTTGGTAACATATATTACTTCTCCTAGACGTGCTTCCGGTATCTTGCTGAGACTCGAGGAATCTCCTCCTTTTGTCAACTCAGAACCACATATGTAGGTCATTTCTTGGGGATAAGGCTTGGGCGGGTTGCTTCTTTCTACTGTTGATTGCCTGGCTGTCTTCTAATTAGAAGTGGTAAGGAAGCAGTGAATCACACATGATACGATTGGAGATTACTGCGTCTGTCTCTGCTTCCGAGCGACGACATTGTGTCTATAACGAGGGAGTATTGCTGTAAAGAGGCTACTTAGGGAAAAGTAGACGAAGTAAAGAGAAGACCATATGGGATCAATGAACGCTAGCAAACTCGGCATCATGAGTCTCATCATTGTTGTCAGCAAATTACCTTCGGGCTGTGTTTTTTTAAGTTGTATTATGATACTGTCTCGCAGTAAAGGGAACTGCGTAAGGGTGATAGATTGATAGAGGGACAGTGAGGAAACGAAGACCGGAGAGCGATTTAAGAGTATTTATGCACTGATTATTAGTAAGCATCACCATTATTTATGTTCATATGTCTCATCTCCCCAACGAAGCAACGGAATCCGCCAGGAAAGCTGATTGCTTTAATGCAACAATCAACGTCCAGATGGTGAGCACCATGCTTGCATTCTACCAGTAGTTAGGTAAAAACCTCGCACCGGCTTTATTCTTTTCCCTAGATCCATTTCCGGCTCCATATGGCCTCTCGAACGATCGGAGTATTGGTGCATCGGCTATACGGATAGGCGTGTAAGCGACGCGAGGTGTCTGCTAAGTCAAAATAGGCTTGAACTCCGCCTGCTCGTCTGCCGGAGTTATCCTACCGAACTGTTCCTTCGAGGAGTTTAAATCCACACTCCGGACCAATGCGGGAGACCCTGGAAGTCCCTTCCCCAGTTTTCGGGGATTCTCCGCGTCTGGTCCATCTGCAGATGTGGAGTTGACGGCAAAAATGACGCATTGGCGGCCAATGCAGAATCTACTAGCTTGCCGTCCTCGGAAAAGAGAAAGCCATCAAGCATCATGCTATCAAGAACTTAGAAGTATTAGTATGGCCGTATGTCACTTTTAACATGGCGTTGAGGTCATTGCTTCTCTGCTGTCGACCCGATTGAACCTACCAGTGGAAACTGCAGCTTAAAGATGGGGGTAAAAGCCTTCAGCTTCTTCGTTGCTGCAGCTCAGCTTTCTGCAGTGGCTGCAGCAGCATCTCGTCTAACTGTCGATACAACCGTTGGGCGACTGTATGGCATGGTCAATGGTTCAGCTCCGGATGTTGCGCAGTTCCTTGGAGTTCCGTTTGCAGCACCTCCTGTGAACGAACTACGATTTGCGCCTCCCCAGACGAAGCCTGCAGAGGGTATCATTGATGCCACGAAGATCGGGCCTTCTTGCCCGCAATATCCCTTAACCACAAAGACAGACCCGTCTGTGTATACGTTTGACTCTCCTTGGCTCCAACCATATGGACCGACATCAGAGGATTGCCTGACTCTCAATGTTTGGAGCCCATTGCATGCCGTCAATGAGACGGATGAGCCATTGCCAGTGTTGATCTGGATGTTCGGCGGCGGGTTCTACGAGGGAGGGCTCTTGACGAACGGGTTTAATCCGAGTAACTGGATCCAAAGGACACAGTCTCATATTGTCGTTGCCATCAAGTGAGTCCTCTTTTCTTTTTTTTGTCCATTGCTTGGACCCGTTTTGTGCTTAGCATCGAATGTCTCTCCTTCTCGGCATTGCAACTGATCACTTGCAACTCTAGCTATCGGGTCAACATCTTCGGCTTCCCCAACGCTGCAGGCCTGGCTGAGACCCAGCAGAACCTGAACTTTGGACTTCTTGACCAAAGATTTGCCGTTGAATGGGTTCGAGATAACATTGCTGCTTTTGGAGGAGACCCATCCAAGATTACTCTCTGGGGCCAGAGCTCTGGAGCAGCCAGCACGGACTATTACAACTACGCCTGGCCCGATGATCCCATTGTGTCTGGCCTGATCATGCATTCAGGCAGTGTCTTTGCTACCGGTTCCAGTGCGGACGTCGAGCATACGAACTTCACCTTTGTGGCTGAGCACATGGGCTGCGGCAATCTCTCCCCTCGAGCAGAATTGGCTTGCATGAGGAACGTTAGCGCAGACTCCATCATTCAGTTCTACGAAAACTACACCCTGTACTCGACCGGTCCTACTCTGAAGTTCACCACTATTGTGGACAATGTGACCAAATTTGAAGACTACACTGCTAGGGCTTATGCAGGAAATTACTCAAAGCTTGTGAGTCGGCTACCGTTCCTGCTACTCGGAATATGCTGATTGTTTCGCCATCAAGCCCGCTATTTTCGGCACCAACGCCAATGAAGAAGCCTCTTTGGTTGCTTGGGCAGGACCCCAAGGTCCAAACATGACCTACGTCCACGAAGAGACTGTGACCACCCAGCTCTGTCCGGCAAACTACAATGGGCAGTGCGTTTATCCACCCCATGTTTTGGGCTCAATACTGATCGTTTATTGATAATATAGTCTTCGCTACAACACCTCATCCCTCTCCTTCCGCTACTTCAATACGGCTAACTTTAGTAACACTTCCCCTCGGCCTTGGGAAGGAGCTTACCACAGCTCCGAACTCCCCTTGCTATTTGGCACATACTCGGAGTATGGCGGACCCGCTACACCTTTCCAGACCGCTGTAGCATCCCACTGGCAGGATCTCTATCTTGCGTTCATGCGGGATCCGGTCAATGCGCTCCCAGCAATGGGATGGCCAGCGTATCATCCTGATGGGTATGCGATGATGTTTGCTGCCAACGGGACCGTTACGAGTCTGCTGCCAATGAGTACTTTGGAGACCCCGTGTGCTGGCATTCCCGAGCCAACTATAGGATGAATTCAGCAGCTGCGCTGCCAGCAGGAGCTGGGAGAAAGCCGAATATGAGGCAGAACTGGACGCATGTACATACTATATTAATAGTCTACACTAGGTATATAAAGAACTGGGTTACTGAGCCAGCCTAAGGGAGGCTTGGTAGCTGGGAGGGGTACGACAAAAGGGCATGTTTGAGCTTTTATACCATCGCTTCATATACAGACCATCGCCAGGGATGGTGATTGCTACTTGATATAGATCTGTTAAACTCCTTCCATGTTCCGTGTATGCAAATATTAAAGCTTCGGAGTAACAATGGCATGCCCCAAATTAATTACATACATGAGAACGCAATTTTCAAATAGTACACCTTCCCAATTGCTATTAATGATACTTCCTATACCAAGACATCGTAATCTACTCCCGTCTCGTGACAACAACAGGCAAGTTCCCCGTATGCCCACTAAACGTCTCCATAGTCTCCAACTCCCACCCTTCCTCCCTCAAGGTAAGATCATACCTCCAGACTAACGCCGCAATAACCAATTGCATCTGAAAGTACGCAATATTTCGTCCCAGACATCCCCTTCCTCCCTGCGAGAAAGCCAAAAACCCGCGCTGCATATCACGCGACCCAGGCTGCAACCACCGCTCGGGAATATAGCGCTCTGAATCGGTACCGAAGATATCCGTATCGCGGTGGATAGTATGCGTGGATACAGAGACAGTGGTGCCTTCTTCTAACCACTCACCAGACACCATCATACCTCCCTTCGGGACAACGCGAGGAAGACCACCGGGGATGGAGGGACGAAGACGTAGGCCTTCGTCGATACAAGCACGGAGATAGGGAAGGTTTTTGACCAGGTCATATGATATGGGGTCTGATGAATCATTGTGTGGCGGAAGTGCATCTGCAAGTTCCGCACGAAGACGTTGGATAACGTGTGGATTGCTGGCGAGGTACCAGATGATGTTGGTCAGGGCAATCTCTGTGTTTCCTCCGGCAGCACTGAAGAGGTTCTGGGCCTCTGTCACTAACTCGCCCAGTTCCAAACACAGGGGATGCTCGCGGTTTCTGTCCCAGAGGAGCGTGGTCATAAGATCGTCTAGTGGCGGGAGACCTGCGTCCACTTGCTCAATGTCCATGTTTACTCGTTTGCGCACAAAGTACGTGGTGATGTGTTGGAGCTGAGTACCGTGGTTCCAGCCTGAATGCCAGCAGGTTAGATGCTTGAGCATGGCCCTGACTTTCGGTGCCCATCCGAGGCTGGTGGAGATGTGCAGGGCGCTAGTGAGCAGTCGGTGAATTTCGCCTTTGTATGGGGACCCAGACGGTGTTTTGATAATGACACTGGTGCTACCTCGCTCTATGAAGTGGGGGTCGTGATGGAAGAATGTGACAAAGATGAGGTTGTACATGAGGTGCATCATCATCTGCTTCATGTCCACTTCTTTCCCGTTGGGAGAGTCCAGCATGCGAAAGACACGCTGCAGGTGGTCTTGAACCACAGGCTCGAGCTCGACGATACGTTTCTGGGAGAAGGCGATGGCAAATCGCTTTCGTTTGATGCTGTGAATGTCTCTATCCTGAGCGTCAGATACGTTGAGGTGAGTCGAGTTGAATGTCTGGTAAAAATCATCTTTCAGTGCTGGTGTTCCGTGACCATAAATGTCGCGAATTGCTTCAGGCGTTGAAAAGGAGACGTGGGTTGGCCCGACTCGAACAATGCTGCCATATTTGAGGTGTGCTTTATGAACTGCCACGGTACGTGTACGAAGATATTGCTTCCATACTCCCCAGAGATCAGTTAAAGGAGCGACTGACACTCCAGGGAAGCGCTTCAGACCTTTAGGGTCACGAAGATATATGTATATGGGGGCGAGGACAGCCCTGAGAATGATAAGAATACTAAGCACGACAAAACTCTCATTGTACATGATGCGCTGATATCAGAAGCCAAATAGCAAGCAGTATCCTGCCTCAATCTTCTGTCACGCAGCCCGATGCCAGATGAAGCTAATATACTTGCACGCTCGGCGCCGAGTTGCCTGATCGGGAACATTGCAGCAAGCCAGGGCTGTCTTGGACTTCCCCGCAAAGGAAGAAAAGACCGAGCATGTCTTTCCACCACTCTCACTGCTGTCGCCTCCCGAATGCTGGAAAATGCGCAAGAAGACCTGGTAAGTTGTCTCTTGACTGCAGGGATGTATGCTGACCCAGACAACGCAGTCTGACATGCAAATCTCGCAAGGTGCGATGTAAGGGCCTAGTAAACTCGGAGATTATGTTGGGCCTATAGAGCTGATCACTCACAGGCGATGGAGTTCAACCTGTCTGTGGTCGCTGCTCGAAGTCGAGTCG